TATATCTCTTTTTCTTCTCTCAATTCTTTTATTTCTATTGTGCACTATAATCAATATTAATCAAACTATTGTTCGTTTATACATTTTAAGAATGGAGTTTATCTTTTTTGAGAATGAGTTCTTATTTTATTTTATTTTTTGGGTCTACAACAGATGATACAATGTTTGTGTCAGTAAATGTGTACTAACAGTGGCGGGGGTGTGTGTGGAAATAATGGGGACAGAGCTGCTGTCAGACGATCAGCTGCTGCAGCATCATCACAAACGGACGTCGCTTCACGTGACGCTCCGGAGGAAAGGACGTCCCATTGCTCTTAAAGCTAATTTCCCTGCTTCTCGTGGTTTCATTGCGTCTCTCCATGCTTCCCTGGTGGGAGGGACTAGTCACAGGGAAACGACGCAAGTGAGGGACGCAAGAAATCCATTTAACCGAAGTGAGAAGGGCCCCTGGTCGTAATAAGCTGCTGAACAATCGACCTATTTGGTAGTTTTTTGGAGGACAGGCTGTTCCGATCTTACGTCATGACCGCAGCAAATCTGGATCAGCTAATTCCCACCACATCATTCAGAATATCACCCTATTAATTTATAATTGTACACAAACCAACATTGTGGAAGCCCATGGAATACACAATAAGAACTGGAAATAATTAAACCTACATCAATGAGTGACCGATCAAGAGTTTTGATCATGGATTCAACTCTCTATTCATGTCGCCATCATTAAAAATGCAAAAGCGCACTGTTAATCAGGATACCTTTTTAAAGAAAGAAAATTAGTCCTGCGATTGCATTTGTGGATAGATGGTTGGACATAACATAAATAAATATTAGCCTGGTAACTTGCATTAGGTCCGATCAAGGATTCATTTTCATATTGTTAGAAATGTAAATCAATGTTTTGTGGCATAATTTAGTTTAAACATACCGCCAGCTTAAATACCAGAAGTTCTCGCGCACATCTCTGATGTCAAGCTTTTATTCTGAAAATCCTTCATCTCCGGTTAGCATTTAGCATGTGGCTAATATTCCTTTCCCTATAGAGGTGAATATATAAGTGAAATGACACGGAGTGTTGCACACCGAAACCTACTGATTTTACACTACATATATAGACGTCGAGATATTATTATTGCTGAATATTAAATGAAGGTACAGTACCACAGACGTGGGTAGCATATGACAACTTCCGGAACTACCGTAAATGATAACTGCCGTAAAGTATTTCCAGTATTATTAAAGTAATGAATTACAGCCGTTAAAATGCAATAAATGAAAAGTCATGAAAGAGATAAGGAGGAGAACATGTGTGTTTAGTTATGTATTTAATGTACAATGTCAAAATCCTCTGTTATGTGCGATATCGGACATTGGTGAAAGGAGGGCGGAAGATTACACCACAGCCGCCATTGAAGAGGAGGAGCCAAATGAGATATATAGGCTGCTTCTCAGGTCGATTAAATGAAATCCTTGCTTCCCTCACTTGCGTCGTTTCCCTGCGTTTAGTCCCTCCCACCAGGGAAGCATGGAGGGACGCAAGGAAACCACGAGAAGCGGGGAAATGAGTTTTAAGAGCAATGGGACGTCCTTTCCTCCGTAGCGTCACGTGAAGCGACGTCCGTTTGTGATGACTGCACAGCTGATCGTCTGACAGCAGCCAACTCTGTCCCCGTTATTTCCACAAACACCCCCGCCTCTGTTAGTACACATTTACTGACACAAACATTTGTATCATCTGTTGTAGATCCAAATAAATAAAATAAAATAAGAACTCATTCTCAAAAAAGATAAACGCCATTCTTAAAATGTATAAACGAACAATAGTTTGATTAATATTGATTAGAGTGCACAAAAGAAATAAAATAATTGAGAGAAGAAAAAGAGATATGTTATCTATCAAAACCCAGTTAGATTAACATTCATTGGATTGCACACTTTGTTTGTTTGTTTGGATATGTAGCACATTCACATTTTAATAGCACTTAATGACTGAATGGAAATGACAATAAATGAAAATGTCAAACGAAAAAAGCGATCATGAAAATGTTTCCAACAAATGAATAAAATGATTTTTGACCACTTTGTTGTTCAGATATATCACATATGTGTAACTAAATGAAACAGGAATTGAAACAAAACACGGTATAAACTGAGGAGTGACTCCCGTGAGGTTCATGTATTTTCTTCACTCCGCTGGGAAACGGCTCTCATGTCAAGAAGCATGAGATCAGTGCATGCACTGCATCGTCCAATCAGTGAGCGATACACAGTAACGGCCCGTACACACAGCAGCTTTTGGCGATTTGTCCACCGCTTCCAGCGCGTCTCCGCCCATTGACTTTGAATGGGGATGACGTCACTTTCCCTCGCTTGTCGCCGAACTGCATTGTGGGGGGGCGAGGCGAAGATTTCCAGGATTTCCAGGATGTTCAGGATTCCAAAGTTGAACAATGTTCAACTTTTGAGGCTGAGCTGGAAGCGACAGCCAATCAGATCCGTTTATGCAAATCTGACAGTTCAAGCGCTAGCCAATCAAACCGCGTGCAAGCTGGGAGAACCAGACCCGCAGTTCATTTCTATATTCCACCAAAATGGAGGAGAACTTAGTTATTGCGGTAGCAAATCACCCGGTTCTTTATGACCAGTCCCTATTTACTTACCGGGATACAAACCGGAGGAACCAGGCATGGAGGGAGGTGGCAGAGGCAGTGGGTGAAACTGGTAGGTTTTCGCTTGTTTGGGGATTTTATATCCAGTTTACTTCGTTGCTAGTTTACTTCGTTGCTAGCAAGCATAGACAGTATCATTAGCCAGCATGGAATGTAGCATAAAATAGCACCATAAACATTAATCTCATAAATGTTAAAAAAATAAATGTTCATCATAGCCCTTCCTATTTGACAATAGTGTAGATTAGAAGAACCGGGTTTTTTTGCTTTGTATGTCGGGGGCGGGATATTCATGTGATATTCATGTGATTGATTGTTGGTCGCGAAATCCCCAAGCTGTCAGACACGCCCAGCTCCAGGATTTTCAAGATTTGGTCAAAGCTGCTGTGTGGACACACCGTAAGGTGGCGGGGCGAGTATCTGAGGATTTCATCGGAGGATGGTCTGGTGGTTCCTCGATTATCGCTCCTCCATTATCGCTCCTCGCTCCTCGATCCTCGATCCTCGGTCCTCCGGCAGAAATAAGAGCCATGGGACAGTACTCAAGATGGCGCAGGCAAATCAACTTCCGGTGAGACCGAGGACCGAGGAGCGAGGAAATGAAAATAGTCGACCTGAGAAGCAGCCATAGTCAGGTGACGGAGCGTTGTGGAGTCTCTAGGCTTGTAGACGAGAATAGCCGATCGCAGCCTCAAAAAGCTCGCCTGAAGTCGGACAGCTCGGAGTCCATGCTCGGAGTCGGCTTCGTCTTCTTCTTCTTCTCTCGGTTTTTTGGCGGATTGCAAACAACTTTAAGGTGCATACCGCCACCTCCGGAGTCGGCTTGACTCGGTTTGCATTTATAAAGAATGCACACATGTGTTTAATCGTTAATGTCAGATATGTACTAAGTAAATACATTTGTTCCTGCTCAAGATTAGATTCAACTTTATTGTTATTGCACATATTACAGGTACTGAGACAACGAAATGCACTTTAGCTTCTAACCAGGAGTGCGACAAGCAGTAAAGTGAAAAGTAATGTACACAATCTACAGAATAAAATGTAGAATGAGTTGAATGATGAATAAACAGGGTATGAATACACTAGATATACACAGCAGCCTGTGAGTATGAACAGTGTGTATGAATATGCTAAGATATATAAAGTATGAAAACGGTAAGCAGTGCAAGTATAGTATAAAATATATAGATATTAATTTCATGATGATAAACATTGTGGAACGATGATGAAAAATGTGAACGGAAGGGGCGACGTAAAACTGACACAAAACAACAACAAACTTTTGCCGAGCCAATTGGAGAGTTTCATCAGCAGCACGTGGTAAAAACCACCAATGAGCGCTCAGCTCGCATTTCGCTTCCGCAGCCCGTGGAGAGGAACTGCGCCGACTCGCCGCGCCTCGCTCTTAAAGATCAAATGCAAAGCTTCCAAATATGCTACATTTTTATAGAAATGTTGTTTTTAAGACTGCCTGTATTTTTTATTTGATTTAAATTGAGATAATACACCCAAAAAAAAGCTTTTTATTGATCCAAAACTCGACCCAAAGCCGTCTGAATTTCTGACATGTAATTCCCAGCAGCCTCCACGCGCGTGACGTAATAGTGGCTAAACAGTCTCTGGACCAAATATCCCGACTCGGCAGTCTCGGTCACATGTTTTTCGAAAAGAAAACTGAATTAAAATGGGTTATTGTTGTGCTTTTTGTTGTACGAACGGTGCAGGATCTGGGAGAGTTTTACATGCATTTCCCAAAGACCAAATCATCCGCAAAAAATTGATTTTTTTAGTGAATCGTGTTGGATGGCAACCGACAAAATGGAGCAAGTTGTGTTCTGACCACTTCGCGTGTGATGCATAGGAGAGCGGGGTAATGTGAGACATTTTTTACATTTGCTCCCCTCTAGCCGAGCTAAAATTATATATCAGTAACATTTACACATTTCCTATTAATTCAGGATGTTTCCTAGCTATGGAAATTATCAGAATGTCTTCAGGACAAAGGGCAATGAAAATATGATTGTTTAAAAAAAAGTGGTCTTGTGTCTCACTTCACCCCAGCTCAGGGGTAAACTTAGACAGACCAGAGAAATCAAGGGGGTAAAGTGAACCAGTTGGGGGTAAGCTGATCCACTTACGTTTTACACTTTAAAACTACCATAACAACACATGTTGTAACAATTAGAAACCTGATAGCTAGATTAACAACCACACATTCCAAAACTAATGTCGGACTAGTATCAGAATCATGAGGATTGGTCAATTAAGCACATTTTCAACACTTGAAAGTAACCCAAAGTACTAAAAAGTAAATCCAATACAACATAATATAATTCAAAATGTTTTAATTAACATTCACAGTGTGGGAGTCAGAACACAGGACCTTTAGAGCCAGCTAGTGTCTGGGGGTCAGAGCAAAGGACAATCAGAACCAGCTAGTGCACAGTCCTGGGGGTCGGAACATGGACCCATAATCAGAACCAGCTACACAGTCTGGGGCTCAGAACATAGGACCATCAGAACCAGCTAAAAACAGCCTGGGACTCAGGCTAGACCCACCTGGATTAGAACATCAGCCTCATACTCTATAACAAGGCCTACTCTACATTCCAGCCCTGAAGGTTACAGGGAAAGGTGAAGAGTTGCTCTCTCCGTGTGGTTCCTCCAGGCCTATTAGGTTGAGGCAGCTTCTTCACCACATCACCTTTAGGAACATGTGCCACATCATTTTCCTTTATAGCAAACGTGGGTCTCTCCCACTGTTTCTTGTTTCCCTGGATTCTTCTGAGGAATTGTGTAAGTATTTCGTCATCCTCAACTTTCTCAACCATGCCAACGTAACGGAGACTCCTGTGTTTGGTTGCAAAGTTAACTAGGGCAAAGTCACCCACGTTCAGATCTGTGTTTCCAGGATCACTTCTCTCATCCTCAGGGCTCTCATCATCAAGTGGGACAGGGACATCACTCTCCTCAGAGCTGCTATCTATGATTTTCCTTTTGGGTGCTTTCTTTTTCAGCTTTGCTATTTTGTTTTTTCCCTGCCAGTTTCTTTTGTCTCTCTTCATAAGCCTTTTCTATTGCCTGCTTCTCAGGAGTATCTGTTAGGATGGCTGTCTTCACACGCTTTCTTTTGGTTTGTGCTCTAGGGGGACATTTGGGAAGTGATAGGATTTCACGAGTAGACACATATCCAGGTCGGCTGGGAACATCTGAGTCAGCTGGCGAGGCACATCCATGTGGACCACGCGGAGTGGATGGATTAGCATCTGCAGCAGGTGGTTCATCTGCAGGGAGTGGACCATCTGGATCATCTGAAGTGGATGGACCAGTGGATGCAGGCTGCAGCTCAGGGTTTGGCCGGTCTGACACCATGAATGGTGCAAACGCTTCCTCAGGGAAAATATCTCTGTTATATGGGAAAATCCCAGTGGACTTGAATTCAGAAGTGATATTCCGTGGTGTCACTGCTGACAAGAAGGCCTCATTCACAAGTCCTGCAATCTGGTAGATGGAGACTGTTTTGCCAGGGTTAGATCTCATCCACCCATCAAGAGCTCGGTTGTATAGGGTCTTGAACGGGCCATACACGGTCACGTCGAGAGGCTGCATGCGATGGGATGTGTGGGGTGGAAGGGTGAGCATAACAATACTGTTGCTCTTTGCTTTTTCTACTGCCTTGAGTGAGATGTGAGTTTTAAGATTATCAAGGATTAGCAACATGGGACGGTCAGGAGTGCACTGAGTGTGCTGTATCAGGTGATCAAGGAACTCAGGCCAGGTGTCTTCATTCATCCATCCTGTTCTGGTGGAGGCACCTTTGGCTCCTGGAGGTGCTCCTATCATGAAGTCATCCTTAAACCTAACTCTGGGGAAGACAAACATGGGAGGTATGGCATTCCCAGCAGCATTCACTGCACACACCACAGTCACCAGTTCTCCTCTCTCAGCTGATGTGATAGAACTTGCTTTGTTCCTTTCTCTGTCACAACCTGAATCAAATAGAAAGTTTAGAATCAATGGCATGTGCAATCAGTAGGCTACTATTGGTCTAAAGGTACATTGTATTTCATTTCAGTCCATTCGTTTTTTCCAGTTCACAGGTTCACTGGTCATTATCACAAGCCACTCAGTATCAGTCTGGTGCTCTCTAGTGTATCATGTGTAGCTTACCTGCCGTGGCTTTTGAACTGTAACGACGCCTGTTTCATCCACATTGTAAATCATGTGTGGAGGGAATTTGTGCCTGTTAAAGAAGAGAGGCAAGGGAAGAACCTTATCAGAATCAAAACCAAATCTTACAGGTAAAGCCTCCGTAAAACATTTGCAACTAAAAAATTAATTCTGTCACCTGTCCATCACTACAGCCAGATTTTCGAAGAACTCCCCCACTGTAGTTTTATTGAAGGCTGTAGCCCTTCCCAGGGATGTTGCCTCCGGAGTTCGGACAGAGAGATGGCGACGTGCTAGGAACCTGCCAAACCACTCTATTCCTAAATAGTAGAGAATTCATTATTATAAGATTTAGCTTTGTGGCAAGATCATTTGTTCTAAGTTAACCAAGTGTTTGGCAAGCTCCTCCTCCATCTCATCTGTGAATATTCTCTTTGCCTCAGCTACTGCACCCCAGGCTACTGATTTTACTTCCCCTTTCTCTTTTTTCTTTATGAATCTTTGTAGGGTTGTCTTGTCAATATTTCTATCCCTTCCAGCTTCTCTTAAGGACTTATTTCCTTGCATGACCTCAGCGGCTGCACTCTCCATCTCTGCGAGGGGTGTTTGGCCCCATGTTGTCTTTCTTGTGTAGTTTCTTGGCATGATGGCTTTTCTACAATGTTGATGACATTAAAAATAAAACATATGTAATGTAATATTACACTAAATATGTTTAAGACTAAACTTAACTTGTGCTTCATGGTGGGGTAAAGTGAGACACTGTCTCACTTTACCCCACAGCATTTGTCTCACTTAACCCCACAGCCACCATTTTAGAAAAAACAACATCTCTAGCAATTCAGGCTAATCTTCAACTAGCATCAATCACATGGTTTTATATGTTGGAAGTTCATCAACATGTATGATATAAGTTTTTCTACCTGAATCAATTTGCTTTGACACAATAGTTGATTAAGTTCATAGCAAGAACATTTACTTTTGCATGCAAAAAACACATTTATGTGAAAAAAACGTACTTACCACAGCACCAGCACCAACTTCACCTTCCTGGCAAGGGGGGAATGGGAGGCGCTTGAAAACATAATGGTCACATGACCACAATTGTGTTCCGTTGCCTAGATACAGGGGGTGTCTCACATTACCCGATGTCTCACAATACCCCGCTCTCCCTACGACGTTGATCCTGCTATCATGAAGTCTGTTGGTGGAGAAGCATTAATAGCACGTCGGAGGCTGAAACTCGGAGCCGTCCCCTCCATATTTCAGCACAAGAAACCACTGAAAGAACGAAAGAGCCGGGCGATGCAGAAACGCCAAAGAATTGAGGTAAACAACTTTTGATTAGATTTCAAAGCGCACACGGAGCACAGCAGATAACGCAGATAACGGAATTGCAGTTGTATTGCTTATAGAGGTGGGCACCGTTAGATTCTGTGTCTTTACGATCATAAACAATGTGTTGGATGTGGAGCTAGGATAAGTAATAAGGGAGCTAGGAGTGATTTCTGTGCAGTAATAGGTTAGCATTTTTCGCTCGGGGCTAATTCAGAGTCTCACTGTTAGCATTGTGTTTGGTTTCCCAGTGGTGAGTCCGCCTGGACTTTATTTTTCTAAACCTCTCTAAAAAGGTCAAACGTCACTTGTTTTGCATCAATCTTGATACAGGGTACTTATTATATGTTATAGTTTGGATTCCTAAAGCTTTTAGTCTATAGTCTAGTCAGAATCAGACATGATAACGAAACTAAGTTGTACTATCGGCGGAAGCAGCTGTGAGCGATAAGCCAAGGTTTGTTTGTTTGGCCACTGTGACATCATACGACGCCATCTTGCGGAGGAGCGGCTGAGAAAATAAATCGTCGGACTTGGTGTTGGGGGTTGAACAAAATAAATATTGCGCATTGCCAGATGCATATTATCTCCGATTTTAATACTGCAATATCTTAGATAGTGTTGTAGCTATATGATTTCGATTTTACTGGCAATTATAAAAAAACCTTTGCATTTGATCTTTAAGGCTGCGGGCGTCTTTGTCCCGCGAGATTTCAACGTCTCATGTAGGCGAGCCTCCAGAGCAAGTCGGACAAAAATGACTAACCATCATGCAACGCACGAGCAAGACGTTGATCGCAATTGCGCAGGTCTGCGCAGGTCTCGCTTGTCTCAAACAAGCCTTCTTTCTTCACGGCCGCGACTGCGAGAGCAGGGGCGGATCTAGACAAATATTCATGGGGTGGCAAGAGGGTGGCAGGAGATTTTGAGGGGTGGCATCCCCTGACAGAAGTATATGCTGATTGAAATCGCAATCATATCAATCAATTAGGGGTGTAACGGTACACGTACCCGTACTGAAATTATTCGGCACGGGCCCTTCGGTTCGGTACACGTGTGTACCGAACGAATATAGCGTTAAACGTAAACAAATTGAGAACATGAACAACTTTCTGGAAGTAATCTCAGGTATATATCATAGAGCGACCAAGTAATTTCATTGGACGAGAGGCATACTATGAGAGCTGGTCACAGGGATGCGTTCAAATGTAGTCAGCAATTTGAGGAACTGTCGAAATGGCGAACGCAGATAAAGTTGAGCTGAAAATCCTCCAGCATCATTGAAGTCTCCGGTTTGGGAACATTTTGATTTTTCAGTTACGTACAAGGATGACGGACAAAGACAGGTGGACCGAACCAAAGCTGTTTGTCGGTATTGTTCAACTAACATTGGTTACGCGGCTGGCAATACATCACACTCATTTGAAAAGGCATCACCCGAATGTGAATATCACCGGTACCAAAAGAAAAAAGACTGAAGTGCAAACCCAACTCCCACTAGCATGTAAGCCTCCACCACTCGCAGAAAGTTCAGACCGAGCCAAAGCTATTACAAACGCCAAATATCCTTATGTTGCCATGTTAGCAAAGCGCTACCTGGCTGTGCTACCTCTGTCCCTAGAGAGGGTGTTCTCCACAGCAGGAGACATTGTTAGTGCCAGCAGATCTGCCATTTCAGCAAGCAATGTGGACAAGTTCATCTTTCTTTAAACAACAAAATACAATGACAAGCAAGTCCTAATGTCAAGCTGACTGCTTAGGTACTAGTACAGTTCAAATACATATTATTTCAGTTCATCGAAATGCTGCACCGTAATGTTTATTTTACTATATTTTGTATTTATTAGAATACATTAGTCACAGTTTAATAATAATAAAAAAAATGTTTTTAATGTTTTGTGATAATCTTTTCTGCTGTACTGAAAACGTACCGAACCGAACCGTGACCTAAAAACGAGGTACGTACCGAACCGAAATGTTTGTGAACCGTTACACCCCTACAATCAATGTTAACTTGGAAAGCCACAATATTAATATTTTAACTCAATCACATAGGTGATATTATTGTGGCACATCAGTAAAGCCTTACATATAAGGTGGCAGATGTAATTTAATGAATTTTAACTGAACAATAACTGAATGAGTTTGTCTCACTTAGACCAGCAGGGGTACCAAATATATGCAGACTGCTGCAATAAGTACATTAATTAACTGTCTCATCGATGTTTGTCTGAATGAATATGATACTATTAACAATCATATTATTCCTATCAGCTGTCAATCACTGTTAATACATAATAATAATAATAAATAATAATAATAATAATAGATTTAATTTGTTAGCGTTTTTCCAGGTGCTCAAAGACGCTTTACAGATATAGTAAAGAACTGTTATGATTCACATATTCATTTATTGTTGAATAAACTATATTTTTTGGAGGAGTTAATGATGAATGTTCATCAAGATGCTTGCTCACCCTCCTTCAAATTTGAAAAACAAGTAATTATATCATTATTGATATACAGTTACAACCTTGACTTTACATCAGAAAGAACAAACATTAAAGAAGTGACTAACTGCATCAGTTAGGGTTAAAAAACGTGTATTCAGCTAAAACATCGCTGCAGTTATTATCCAGTGGAAGGTCCTTACCTACCGGCCTAGTTAAATCAAAGTGGTTACTTTCTGTTGGCTGGGCAGTGTAGTTTTACACACCGTCTTATTTTACTTTTTCAGGACTTAAAATTGTTTTTTGGGGGCAGACCCCCTCAAAGAAAAAAATATATACACGCATACAAGGTCATCATCTTAACAGTTTGTTATTCTCATCGAGTCATCCGTGAGCAGAGCATCAAGTTGGCATGTCTATTACAGCTGAATGCGGCGATTACTATCTTGTTCAGCAAAACGCCTCACAAATGTATTAAGATCTAAAGTTTTAGTGCGTTTTGATTCAATGCTGAGTGCAGCCAAACTTGACATTCTCCTCTCTGTCATTGTAGACCGCAACTACCTCATTCCTTCAGTGCTTGGGTCCGAAAGGCTTCTCGTTTTGCGCCGTCCCGTTCAAATGAATTCGCCACCAATCATATTTCCACTCTCGCGCCAGGACCGGGGGAGGGGTTACATGACGTGCATCTTGTGCTGCATTCACTTGATTGATTGATTGATTGATTGATTGAAAAGTTTATTAACAGCTTGTATATTGGGTACAGTACAGTACAGCTCAAAACATACAATTGTTAAGGAGATGCAGACCAGAGAAAGACTTTCGTCTTGGTTACATCAGGGTCCCCCATTTCCAATTCATCATGTCATTTAAGACATATAAGACATACAGATGGCTTATTTACAATTTACATACAGGTGGTTTTTTACATACAGATTGCTTATTTACAATTTTCATTTTAGATTTTGTTCTAATACATCCTAACCGGACATTTAAGACATACCAAGTCTACAGATATACAGTTAGTAACAGAGTCTAAAATGCGAGTATATACATAGATGGGGGGGGGGGAAGCTGTCCATTGAACGACAGGTTGAGATTTGTACCATTACCGGGGCCAGTTTTGCAATGCTCTCCCCCGAAGGTGCTCTTTAAGAGAGGTTTTGAAGGTAAGTATAGTTTTACTTTCCTTTACAGTTGTGGGAAGAGCGTTCCACCTTGATGTGGCATAATTGCGAAACGTGTATTCCCCCCTTTTTTGTGCCAAATCTGGGTTTCACATGATTTGTGGAGCTCCCTCTGGTGTTATGATCATGGTATTCCTTGACCTTTGGGAATCATTTTGACATGTACATGGGTACCATAGAGGTGTACTGGATCTTGTAGACCAGGCCCATTGCAAGTAGCTGTACTCTGTCGTCTACTCTAAGCCATCCTAGGTTGTCAAAGTGGGCAGAGGTGAGGTGGGTTCTAGATGAAAGGTCAAGCAGTAGTCTGACCAGTTTATTTTGCGATGTTTGAAGTTTTATTTTTAGCGCCTTGGAGGTGCTATGGTACCATGACGTGCAAGCATAGTCATAGTACCCTTGAATGAGTGCTCCTGCCAGAGTTTTCAGGGTGTTTTTGTTTACCAGAGAGGAGATCCGGTATAGGAATCTAGTTCTTTGATTGACTTTTTTTATTACATTGGATGCCATTTTATCACAGGAGAGGTTTGCCTCAAGAATAGATCCTAGGTATGTAATTTCCTTCTTACTTGTGACAATAATGTCACCCACTGCAACTGAGAAGTCGTCGGATTTGCTGAGATTATGTTTCGAACCGAAGAGAATGGACTCTGTTTTACCCAGGTGTAATGATAATTTATTATCGGCGAGCCAGGTGCAGATTCTGCCGAGCTCGGAGCTGAGGGTTTTTTCAACCTGCAACCTGTTCCTGTCAGAGACCAGCAGGGCTGAGTCGTCCGCGAACAGGAACAAGTTGCAGTCACATGCTGATGACATGTCATTTACATAAATTAGGAACAGTAACGGACCTAATATGCTTCCTTGTGGAACACCACAGCTCACTGGGAGGGGGGGGGGACAGAGTACCGTTTACCTCCACCATCTGTTTTCTCCCCTCCAGGTAGGATTGCATCCAGCTCACCGATAGTTTATCAAAACCAATTGCTTTTAGCTTGTCAATCAGAATGGGGTGATTGACAGTGTCGAAAGCCTTTTGTAGGTCCAGCATCACCATGCCGCAGTACTTGCCCTCGTCCACCTCTTGTTTGATGTGGTCGCTCAAATAAAGAAGGCATGTGTCAGTGGAGTGGGATGTTCTAAAGCCAGATTGAAATTCATAGATTAGTTTATTTTCCGCGAGGTACTTTTCGACCTGTTCATATACTATTTTTTCCATGACTTTCGAGATGGAGGTAAGTATAGAAACAGGGCGGTAGTTGCCTGGGTCCAATTTGCTGCCCTTTT